CACACACAAACACACACACAATATGTATGTGTTGGTACACCACAGCTTTTTTTTGGTACTCAATTGTCAAGCCACATACAGCACTAAGCAGCAGAACAGGGGACAGCAGGGATGCACAAGACACACATCTAAACTAGGGTTAGATTGATGTACCAAGAAGAGTAAAGCTTTTTAAAAAGACCAAAGTGCAGAAGGTTTTAGTGGCAGAGAACTGATATTTTACAGATGTTATTTGCTCATTTTCAATATCTAATGACAATTGTAAACTTGTGCTTTACAGTAGCAGCTGCTTTTATAGTGGCTATTTGTCCACTATAAAATGTACTTCATGCTTCATGCAACAATCAATAGGATAGAGGAGGACTAAACCTCCTTTGAAACCATTAGTGTGAAACATTCTCAGACCATACTTATTAATAATTATTATATAATAATCAAAATTAATGTAATCTCTAATCTTTGTGTTTATGATACAAAATGTTAAAACAAGTGAGAAAAAGCAAACCCAAGGATTGTATTTACGGGTGCATTTGTGGGCTACTGGCACTTAGAGACCTATGCTAGCATGCTATGAGTTAAAACAAAATGTATAGAGAAAGAAATCTTTTTAGAGGTTTTAGAGGCTTATTTGTTTGAATGTATAAGCATTTCAAATCTCAACAGAGTAAACCAGTGTGTCGGAATAACATTTTGAGCAGCCAGTTATCATTATTAATACTATGAGTGCTACAGTAGTTCATGCCTGTGTAGCAGAATTGTGAGTTTCTTGTATTAGTTTTGCTTCATGCGTCTTCAGAAAGCCATCAATTGAACCCTAGGCAAGATGGCAAAGCAAAGAGGTAAAGCAAGCGCCGGAAACCTAATGTGAAATATCGAATGAGAGTGAAAGAGTGCGATGGAGGAAAAGATGAACAATTGTCCCATCTCTTCCTCCGCCCCTCTAACGTGACCCCGGGCGCTGGCCTACCCTCTGCATGCCATAGTGGTGGTGATTGGGGTGGTGGGGTGGGAGGTAGAGGGGAGGAGGGGTCTCAGTGCTGGCCAGGGAGAGGTTGTCCTGGCTGTGTAGCTCCATCTCCCGCATCACCTGCACCTTGAGACCCCCGTACAGATGGCTGCAGTGCTGCAGGCTCTTCCTCCTCCATCGCTGGGTGCTGTCGCTGTCTTTGCTGACCCCAAACCAGTCAGCCGTACCCCTGGGGAGAGGACGCAGTCTGGTTAGCAAATAGCAACTGTCAATGAAAAGTGACTGAAATGGTTTTTGTTCTTATTAGTATTTTGTTCAAAGCCTGAAACTATCACAACAGGACTTCGAGGATGACTTAAAAGAAAGATATTGAGTTCTACAGCATACTCACAATGGCTACGCTAACGTGGTGATGCTGAGCTGGTATATTGTTTGCCATGTTCGTGTTAGCACGCTAACATCTGCTAATTAGCATAAAACACAAAATACAGCTGAGGCTGATGGGAATGTCATTAGTTTTTCAGTAGTAGTTGTAGTTTTTCTTTACAACTTAGGTAGCTATTAAAGAATAAAAAAAAGCAAAGTAAAGGCTGTCTAAGGCAACAACGCTGCCTCATCTCAAAAGACACTGAGATTGGGCTGAACCAGAATTTCATGTCAACTCTCAAAGAAAGAGAATTAATAATAACATTGCTGTCCTCATTGTCTGTTTTATCTTATTCCTGTTTTTCATTCAGAAAACCCTTACAGGCACCGTATTGTCCGACAGCCTGAGCCATACATCCCGCAAGATTAGCACAACAATATGCTGATTAGCTGATTGATTGCAGCCGGTTGTTGGGGATTAGTTGACGAGTTAAAGGGTTCATTGGTTGATTGCTTTCTTGTCCATACTGATGAAGAGAACCATACATCTCAAACGAGCATCTGGTCTCGCAGTCTTTAAATATGGAGCCTTACACCTTTGGTACCTTAAATACTAAATGGAAAGCCAACATGCGTGGTTTAATATAGCTGATAAAGCATCATTTTAAGCTGCCACAGGACAGAAACTTGAGAGAGAAAAAGAAAGATGAATGGGGCATGTAGGGTGAATGGAAAAATCGTTGGCTGCAACACAAAGAAAAATGATCAAATTAGATCTATTTAAGTAGCACGGATCAGCTTAAACGTAATTCTGGATAAAGTTTATAAGTGATTGGATAAGGAAAAATCAAGATAAAATATGGGCCAGCATCTCTACAGCCGCAGCACACAGTGAGGACTATGATCAGGCTACAGCAGGACAGTGTATTAAATAAAGGTATGTTGTGCAACATGTCAATATATCAGACTGAGAAATCCTCATAAATTCAGCTCCCCTCCTGTATCTGTCTCTCTCTCCTATCTTCATCTTTCTCTGTTTATGTGTGCAACTTAAAGAGGCTGAAGGAAAAATACTGTCTTTATCCTTACACAACCTACTGCTCTCTGTTCTGTCAGAAGCAAAGAAGCAGATGTTGCCTCAAAGTCCTGCAGCTGATGACCTGACTTAGCTGTGTGTGTTTGTTTCTCATTTAAACTCAATAAATGTGCAGTATTAATGTGCAAATGTGTGTGCATCCAGGTCCCTTCTTTTTCCATGAAACAGTGTCTGCGTGCCAGGCTGTGCGTTCGGGGAGGGGGCCTCTCTGGGGAAACTGTTTGGAGAGCGGAGCGCTCAGTAATAAACACTCGAGCTTCATCATCAAGAAAGACGCCAGCTGGGGAAGCCTTTTAAGGCTACACAGGGGCAGGGAGGGGGTGGCGTGGCCCTGATTGTTGTCCCTCCAGAGAGGAATGTCTTAGAAAGAAGATAGGTTTTGGAAAGCCGAGAAGGGAGTCAGACTTGGCCTCTCTGAGCAGGAGATGTAAACAGAGACAGCGGAGAAGAGGAGGTCAGAGTGTGAAGATAATGGAACAATAACTCACTTTGGTTAACTGTTAAATACAGATAACAATCAAGATTAACATAACATCCACTACGGATGGGAAAGCATGATGCAAACACTCGCACACACTGTGAATCAAGGCCCGTTTCAAGATAGATGACGTTTGTTTGTTTGTGTTTGTTTAGGTAAGCGGGTATTTGTCACATGTACCGACAAGCATGCAGGTCATATTCGCCCACACAAAACCATAAATAAAATGTTTCACAACTGCTTGACAACGGCACAAATCCATCAGCCATCAAAGATTAAAGCCACATTAAGCCACATGAATTAGCTTTCATATCCTCAAGGTAAGGCTGGTACACACGAAGCATCCATCGACTCTACTGTAATTATAGGCTTAGACAGCATTCATTTTATCAGGGAGAAAAGGCCAAGGGGCAAATCTACAATCTAAACAAATATTATGGCTGAACAAACAGAGAATAGTACAGATATAGAAGATAAATATGAACCCTGATAATAGGCATTGCACTTTCTGATCCACCAACATGAGGGGTTTTTGGAGTTCAGATCTATAGGGTTAGCCTGATATATAAGCTTACCAGTATTTGCTGTTTATTAACAGCAAATTAAATATAAGTGGTCACATGTCCATAGCTGATGTAACAGAAACTGAGCTGAACAAAAACCTACAAAAACATACTTAACTTTTCATTTGTTCTTTCCAGACTTTACTATTACTTCACTACTAACTTCACTACTATTCTTCAATTAAGGGATTAAGTGTCAGGTTCAGGATTACTGAACAGATATGGTCTCCTTGAACTAACATAATAATATAATATTTTTTTCTGGGTCAAATGGTGCATGTTATTGTCATGGTAACATGGCTAGATGCTGTTTCGTAATCTGACAAAAAGAAAACTCCTTAAGGAAAGACATAAAAATAGTCTTTCTTGGGACAAAAATTATCCAAATTAAAAAACTGTCATGAAATATTGACTTGTGGTGACTTCAGCCCGAGACAGTCTGTACTTTGAGACAGTGGTGGTGGAACAACATTTATTCAAGTACTATACTGAAATACAATTTGATTGCACGTGATAGTAAAAAAAAAGGACCAGCTACAACATATGTTAATGCCTTATCATACAGTTTAGGACAATAACGGGATAAGTACTTTTACTTTTGATAATTTAAGTACATTTTGCTGCTCTGCTAATACTGTCAATGCCAGTATGTACAGGACTATCATTTTTAGAGTATGTCTATAC